CATGCCTTCGAAATTTTTTCAGACATGCAGGTTTCCTCTTTCCTTCCTTCCTTTCTCCTTCTCAGGTAAATCAACACTTAAAATTGCAATTAACAATTTAATTGGTGCCGGCGGGGATCGAACCCGGGTCGCGTACTGTGAAATTTACAGCTTGCGCTAACCATCAGAACTACCACGACTTAATAATATACACACACAATATTTAAATATAATTTGTTAACACTAAATCATACACACTTAAGAAAATAACAGAAAGAAAAGTAAGTTTGTCAATAGAATAAACACTTACATCTATGGTCTTTGATGCGTTGAAATAACACAAATGTAGTATTGATAGATCCACTGCGGTCAAACGACCATACACTAACTCCATGACTGTAGCTGCTAGGTCTTATATAGCACCAGTAAGTAATAATTCTAATCTAAAGAATTTCTGCAGTGAAACTGATAGTAACTTTATGCGTCAATAAGCTTATCTCACATTCTGTTGCATATCTCAACATTCCTTCGTGTTGCGTCTTATTCGATGTATCGATGACTCAAATACGATTTGTATGTCACAAAAGAAATGCGATTTAATATTTAGAAATCACTATAATTGATCACTCCTATGTTAGTCATTGAGTAGATTGGTACTGTAATAATCTACTAATAGCAGTAATATCATGGATACACTAGATGTACAACAACATTTGAAAAAGATTCACCCCAGTCTAGAAAATAATGTTTATGCTGCTAATGGACTGCCGATGTATACCCACGTACTAACGTATATAATATGCAATTTGGATACAGATGATAAACCAGGGTCACATCGGGCAGCTTTATATATTGATACGAATGACGTCGGTCAATATTTTGATTCATATGGACGATCACCTGTACGATATCATCTAGAGTTTTAAAAAGGAATTGTAAAAGATGGAACTGGAATGTTGATAAGATTCAGAATGAGTGGACTTCAGTTTGTGGCGAATGTTGCTTAATGTATTTGATATATAAGTTTCAGGAATGTTCAATGCATAGTTTTACGAGTATATTTACAGGGAACACATTGTACAACGATATTTTAGTGGATGAGATGTTTCGCTCCTATTTTGTAGATAATAAGTAATAAGTATATTTATTATATTTATTACTATAGTATTTTGTAAATAAAAATTGTAATAAAATTACGTAATGTGTTTTATTGATGATTCAGATTAGCGTTGTAGTTAGGAACAAAGAAGTATAATACAATATCACTGATAAGCCGACGCACACGCCGAGGAAGAATAGACAATGACAATAGATAAGACAATGGGGCGCTAATGACGGTGGAGGCCATTACCGGATATCAATTAGATATTGGTTTAATTGATCTGCACATCTCCGGAACCGTGCATCCTGCGCAAAAACGGACCACAGATTCGTGATCAGAGCATGCCAAAACCTTTTTTTTAGGATCGTGAGTCGACGAACGTTGTACCACTTCTGACTCAGTGATCTAGAACTGGTATAACTTAACTACTACTACTTGTAGGAGAGAGAACTATTTGTTGGAGAAATTTATTATGTATGTTTCATATGAAACTTTTTTCGATAAAGAATATGTATCAGAAATTATTTTTTAAATAGATCCATTGTAAAATAATGTAATAAACAAAATAAAATTACTGTAATTAAAATAAGCAGCGTTTCGCGCGCTTCTCAAACTCTAACTCGTTACCCGCTCGTCATCGTAGAACTTAAGCATAGGAAGAACTTCCACATTTACGAGCACTACGAGTGACCGCAAAAGTAGCGTCCAGTGATGCCAACGTACTTATTTTGGTCCCGTGTTTTTCTGCCTACAAAATATACAGTAGTTATTTAAAAACTTGGAAAGTTTAATAAACATAAGATTTTATTACAATTCAGTTGTCATAAAAGATACAAAGGGATGTTTATCAACGATCAATAAAAAGTGGTTAATTAAGGTTTTTATATTTTTGACATGCATTTAACCCGTTGAAAATATTCAATAATAATAATTAGATTTTAAAACAAAACATTGGAAAAAAACTACATCATAAATACAAAGATCACAACAAATTCTGTTGATTCAGAAAATATAACAATTATGTTGCAAACTACAGTCGCTTTGACACGGACACAAAATAAAGTTGAATGATCAAAACCATGAACCATTAACCACTAGTACATAAGCCAACATAACTGCTAAACGATTTATCTCCGGCGAAATTAATCGACCACGTAAATTACTTCCGGATGGATCTGTTTTTACATTAAGAAATTAAGTAACTGCCGTGAGTGATCTGATTCCAGTGTTTGACACAAACGAAGAATATTTTAATATGTAGATGTGTCTTGAAAAATTCGGTGAAAGATTGATTAGCCGTAGTGGACCGGTCAACTGGCCGGCGCGATCACCTGATCTCATAACTTTAGGACTTTTATCTCTAGGATACGATTAAGCAATCAGTACGTACTTTTTTTAATAACATGCGATACCGAGGCGGAAATGCGTGTGCGAATAGTCGTAGCGTTTGCAAAAATAAAGTTTGTGAAAAGAGAAATGTCTCTTCTGCAACGCGTGCGTTATAGGAGTTTGCTTGCGTGCTTGCGGGGCGGATAGGATCTGTTGTAGCACGGAGTCTGTAGCCATCTGGACGTGATCGATGAGTCGGTCTGTTTCAGCATTACCGCTATAGGACCTATAGAGGCACCCGTAGACGCGGGGATGGTCGTCACTGTCTATACGCAGCCATAAGATGGACAGGTCCATACCTTCAAGGCTGCCGAGGAGTCGAAAATAGATATCGTCTCTGATATACACGTAAACTCCAGCCCGGGGCACAAAAGATTGTTCTAATTTGTACCCCGGGTAGGAGAGATACTAAGCATCAGCCGGAGAGGACACCTGTGTCACCCTGGGACACCCGTAGACGCGGGGATGATCGTCACTGTCTATACGCAGCCATAAGATGGACAGGTCCATACCTTCAAGGCTGCCGAGGAGTCGAAAATAGATATCGTCTCTGACATACACGTAAACTCCAGCCCGGGGCACAAAAGATTGTTCTAATTTGTACCCCGGGTAGGAGAGATACTAAGCATCAGCCGGAGAGGACACCTGTGTCTCGGTTAGAAAGAGCAAGGCTGGCTTCGCCGTTTCCAGATGGTAGCGGACGGCGTTAAGGTTTGAATGAAGTCCCCAGATGTTGAGAAAACTCACGGATAGCGTGACAGGGAGCGCCTTTGACTTATTGCTCCGTTTGCCCCGAGCAGGTTTAGTCTCGAGCGGAATTTTGCCCCCCCCCCCCCGATACGCGGGGCTGCCTGAGCACCCACGCTCAGGAGTGGAGTAGCTTGGTCACAGATGCTCAGCGAGGGATTCTTCAGGGGTGCTGGTACCCTCCTGGAGTAGTGTTATATTTAACTCCGCTACCATGTTACGGGGGAGGGGGGAATTGGGCCTCCGGCCACCTGCACTCACCAGACAAAACGCAGAAGCAAAGTCTCTGCTTCACGCTGGTCTTCCGTGAGATCGTGGTAACACCCCGGTATGAGCCGACCCATGCGTGCAACAGCAAAGCTGCCGCGTGGCTCTACCACTGTTAATGATATTGATCCACTTGCGTCCATTGACTTCTTGCATCTCTTGCCAGGTCATCACGCCATGTAGTATGTGGGAGCGCACTATATTCCACTAATCAGCACCACGCTGTCACTCGAGAACCTCTCTTACATAGCCTATTATCAGTCAGTGGACTAGTGAGGGTTTTGATGATGATGGTGATGTTCTCTGCTATGATATAATAGTCAAGATTTTTTTTAAATAAACAATGCTCGTTACTGTGAAAGTATCTATCAAATAAGAAATTATTCAATCGCGTACCTAATCTCGTATTACATTCCTTAAAATAAAGTTGAAGTTTTAAACTTCTCCACATGTGAAGTTGGTAAAGAATTCGAGTAAATTTACTGATGAAAATCGATAATGTTAAGATATTAGAATTATTATTATAATCCACTTACACTACGATGAGGACCGTTTTGTTAATATATTACAGTGTATTTAACTTAAATTATGTAAGATAGTATTAAGATACTTAATTTATTCAGTATATAACAAATTCTTCTATATTTTTGATAAATTTTTAGTAATATTGGTCTATTCTAATACACAATACAAGTCTTTAAATAATATATTAGAAGAACAATTAACTAATATTAAATTATTACTTTTGAAATGTTTACTTTAATTATTTTAATCTGTAGTACTTAAACAGTTCATGTATGCACCTTCTTTTAAAATTTAATTGCGGATATTTTACTAATGAATTTTTTAAAGTTAGTCTTGCCTACAATCCCACCTTTTGGTAAGTCTACTTAATCCTATACCTTTAAACGAGCAATTCTTGTATATATATATATATATATATATATATATATATATATATATATATATATATATATAATATATATATATATATAATCGGATCTCGGAAACGGCTCCAACGATTTTCATAAAATTTTGTGTCCAGAGAGTTTCGGGGGCAATAAATCGATCTAGCTAGGATTTATTTTTAGAAAAGGTCCCTTTGTCCGTGTTTTCAGGCAATAAAAAACTGCTACAATATAAGAAGGTAAATTTTGGCAGGTTACTAACGATCGTAATAGCTCAGATGGGATGTTGTTCGGGCGTGATATCGGTATTCCGTGGTTCGCGTCCCGTCTCGAGTCCGACTTTTTTTCCTTTTTTTTCAAGTTCCCTTCTTTTGTGAGAAAATCTATCATTTCGAGCCCTTTTTTTTAGTATTTTTTTAAAAATACGAAAATTTTAATTATGTGTTAGTAGTTTTTTTTAATTTATTCATGTAATTTGTATATAAATGTAACTTAAAAAAAAAACGCAAAGCTCGGTCATCCGGGTACTTAAACTAAAGTTAAAAGTAACTGTATAATCTTTCACTGTTTGTATCCCAAATCAAAAATAAATAAACATGACTATTGACCTCGAGTTCTTTGTGGCTGCTGCGGCTGGGTAGACTGTGTCTGCGGCTGCACTTGGGGCATCACGATCATAGGCGGAATGCGTTTGCACTGATGGTATTGAGCCTCCACGGAGTTCAGCACCACGCGGACTAACCCCACGGTTATATTGCATAGCACTCCGGTCCCGTAGTGATACTGAAATAAATATGTCATTCATTAGAGAAGTAAGAGTAACATGTTGTGATGGTAAGTGGATGCTGCCTTCAGAGACTTACATCCTCAATTAAGAATAAAGAAAATTTTAGACTAAGAATGATGAATATACACATACGTTGTCGTCACTTAGACTACAATAGATGGAATGAATTGTTACCAGTAAAAATAACAATGTCCTCCAGACCGAACTTCAGTTACCACGACTAGCTTCAACGGAGACTAGCCATCGGTGCAGGACAGGATTATAGTGCACTCTCATAATGCGATGGGATGGTAAACCGACACGGCCGGAGAGAGATCATGCACAGAACCAACAGCTTGACGAGCTTTCCGAGGCACATGGGTGAGACACCGCCAATTTCCTGACTCCGGGCAGCTACTGTAAATTTCTTGACAGAAAACTCAATAATTGAAATTTTTTCCGACCCGGAAATCAAACCCAGGACCAAGAGGATCAGCAGTCGCACTACTACAACCACAAGACCAACGAGGCAGTACTAGTAATAAGTACCTCATTACTAACCATACTAATTACAGAAATATTAAGCTGTTATTTTACGTTGGCATTCTGTGAGACCTTCCTTGGTCTAGCTGACCCATTCGTGATGCAACCATAATACATCTGCATCGCCTACCATTAAAATTTTAATTTTTTGAATAATTAGGTTTAGTTACGTTCTATAATAACCCTTACGTGAACTTAAACCTTGTACAGTCTTATAATGGCAATAGGCTTCTGCCAGAGCACAAAAAAATTGCCAAATCGCTCAGCTTGATAAATAAATTTATGATCGCTATACCGAGACATCTCGACGCACGATACTTACAAATGTAAAGCAGTCCGCATTTTTCCTGATGGTCATCAAAAAAATTACACATCACAAAATTATACATCCAAGGAATTTACTTAATGTGTCATAATTTATAATTAGATTTGTTCCCATTAAACAGAAACATATTTGTAACTTTGAATGTAGTGCTGATTTGCGACATAAATAGAAGTAGTATTCACCTAGACGAATACTTACAGATATGATTACGTCTTTCGGGATCGAAGTGATTCAAGGTGAAAGAGTTACAATCATCGGCTTGTACAACAATCGGATTTTGATGGAAGGATTTTGACGGATTGACATGAAACGCCTTTAGGCACACATATTATAAGTATGGTTACTAATTTTTGGTCGAATGTAAGCTCGTACTGCGTAATCGGACCAAAAACTAATAATTACAAGTTGAAGGTAGCCTGCATTAATAATGACATCTTCAAACACCAGAGTTAATTCGCGTGACGCCTCCGTGGCGCAGTGACTTAACAATTAGTTGCAAGGGTGGAGATCGCGGGATCGAATTTCACACGGAACATGTATTCGTATGGACTACAAATAATTGTTCCGGGTCTGGATGTTTGTCCTTGCGAAATTTATTTATGTACCTCCACGATAATGTAGAAAATCCTCGTGTTGAGATAATGTTTAAACAAAGTAGAATTCAAAAATATATGCAGAGTTATTTTTCAAAGAGTAGCCAAATGAGAATGACCAAAATGGTATGGGGCTTGGTCCAAATGTCCACCACTAACAAAACATATTTCACAAAATAGTCTACTAAATATTGAGTCGTTAACACCAGACCGCAGTCATAAATATGCTGTCAATAAAAAGTTGCGTCTAAACGAAATAAACATTTCTTATAACTTATTTGGTTTCAATATCTCTACCGAACGCGCAATTTAAACTATCTAGAAGTAGTACTAGATGTGTAAAATACATGTGACCTCTACCAACCCGCACTGTGCCCGCGTAGTAGATTACGGCATTCTCCTTCTCACAGAGAGGAGAGCTGTGTCCCAGCAGTGGTAACATTATAGGCTGATTATGCTATGTTATGCTGTTTATGTCTGTGTCGTCTCGGTTCCTTTCGTATCTCGTGTTAGGTTATGTTACTATCGTTTCTCATGTTATGTTATTATCGCATCTCGTGTTATGTTATGTTACTATCGTTTCTCATGTTATGTTATTATCGCATCTCGTGTTAGGTTATGTTACTATCGTTTCTCATGTTATGTTATTATCGCATCTCGTGTTAGGTTATGTTACTATCGTTTCTCATGTTATGTTATTATCGCATCTCGTGTTAGGTTATGTTACTATCGTTTCTCATGTTATGTTATTATCGCATCTCGTGTTAGGTTATGTTACTATCGTTTCTCATGTTATGTTATTATCACATCTCGTGTTAGGTTATGTTACTATTGTTTCTCATGTTATGTTATTATCGCATCTCGTGTTAGGTTATGTTACTATCGTTTCTCATGTTATGTTATTATCGCATCTCGTGTTAGGTTATGTTACTATCGTTTCTCATGTTATGTTATTATCGCATCTCGTGTTAGGTTATGTTACTATCGTTTCTCATGTTATGTTATTATCGCATCTCGTGTTAGGTTATGTTACTATCGTTTCTCATGTTATGTTATTATCGCATCTCGTGTTAGGTTATGTTACTATCGTTTCTCATGTTATGTTATTATCGCATCTCGTGTTAGGTTATGTTACTATCGTTTCTCATGTTATGTTATTATCGCATCTCGTGTTAGGTTATGTTACTATCGTTTCTCATGTTATGTTATTATCGCATCTCGTGTTAGGTTATGTTACTATCGTTTCTCATGTTATGTTATTATCGCATCTCGTGTTAGGTTATGTTACTATCGTTTCTCATGTTATGTTATTATCGCATCTCGTGTTAGCTCAGGTTACTATCGTGGCTTGTTATATTAGGTTATTGTAAAATAACTATTCCAAAAGGGACCGGGAAAAGAAAAACAATATTGAACATGCTTCACAACAGTTTTGTAATTGATGTCTTACAATGTGGAATAAAAAAGTAACAGAAAAGCATTATTTTTGTATGTTTCGCGCACTTAGATATAACAATAATTGTGATATCTCCAACTCGTGCAGCACTGACTATGAATAATCGTTAGCTTTATGTAAAGAGGAGCTACTTGCGTAAAATAAAAAATGGTTGACTGTAAATAGAAAAATAATTAAGCTGAAAATTGAAAACAAAAAAAAATATTTTTCATTTGGTCATAACTTTTCGTGTCATAATGAAAGTTACTGTCTATTTCGTGGACTTTTCGTTAACTGAGATCTGGTTAGTGGTGGATATTTGGACGACTTTTGGTCATTGTCTTTTTATAATTAAGTTTAAATATATAAATAACGATATACTGTTACTGCAGTTTTTGAAAATACGAATAAATAAGGCTTCTACTTTTTGAAATTATCCCAAATTGAATGTGATGTATGGGCAACCACTACGCGTATGCGCGCTCCTCTGTGTGCAATTCAATTCAGAATGTTTTTGCCGACCGATCGAGCCTTGCGAATGTGTGAGTACGTAGTAAAATAATAGGTGTTAGATGTTTATGAACGAAAATCAGTTAATTTAAAATGGAAAAAATGCTTGAGATTTTTTTAATTAATTTGTTTTTCACCATTCGCCTAATTACTAATGTGAATCTTCTCTGCAAATATGGTCATATGTTGCAAAACAGCACTGTATATAAGCAATAATTATTGGTAGCATGTAGAGGTGTCATATTAGTACGGACCTTGTATAGCACGACGAGTAGTGCCATGAGCCAGTGGCGGCGTACGTGCGGCGCGAGCGCGCCCAGCGTGTGCGCGCCCACGCCCCCCACCCCACTCGTACCCGCCCCCACCCCCGCGCCAACACCTAGCCCACCCGCGCCCGCACTCGACCCCGCACCGCTGCAGTACTGGGAAACAACGACCACCACTTACCACACTATAGCAATTTGTTATATCATAAAGCTAAACAACAACCACAACAACACCGACAACCGCTGGGGAAGAAAGTTTCTCGAGTGACAGCTTCGTATAAAACTAAGGTTAGGGCGGCCCCATCACTAGATGGAGTTACGAACTGTTAAGTGATACAAGAAGTCGATCGATGTAGGTGACTCAGGACTGTACTTTGTGGCATTGCTTTGGGGAGGCCTATTTTCAGCAGTGAACTTGTGAAGGGCTGTAATGATGATGATGATGAAGATGGAAGCTAAGCTATTTTATTCATAAGAAACTTGTAACAAAAACCCTATGGTTAAGTGCGTTATCAAAATCATTATTCAAATGCGTTGCAAAAGCGTTGAAGCGACAGTAGCCTAATGGCAGGGCGCGGATCGCGAACTCAAAAGGTCGTGGGTTCGAATCCGCCATTTGACTACTGTCGTGAACCACTCCTAACACAAGCATTTTCAAGCTTACCAGTAGTGGTTAAAAGGAATATTAGTAATGTTAATTAATAAGATTACTAATATTTTTTCAAGAAAAAAAAATGTGTAGTATTCCTACTTTTAGGTGAAGTGTAGGGTGACCCCCCACTAGATGGAGTGACGACCTGGTAAGACATGCAGGAAGTCGATGGATGCAGGTGGCTTAGGAACGTGCTTTGGGGCATACCTTGGGGGAGGCCTATGTTCAGCAGTGGACTTGTGAAGGGCTATAATAATGGTGACGATATATATATATATATATATATATATATATATATATATATATATATATATATTTATACCTACTTGACTTCAGATAAGTCAACCATAAAAAATATAATTAAAATTAAATAAATTTTCAAAAATCAGTCGTCATACAATTTGCAAATATAAATTTATTTAAATTTAATTTGATTTAGGATAGATGAGATTTATATTAGGAAATTATACACATAAGTGTGACAAACATAAATAGGAAGATAACAGATGTTTCCCCTAATTTAGCCGAGTGAAGAGGATAGTTTAGACTGAAACTTGTTTATATGAGATTTTTAAGTAATTTGGTTATCAAGCATGAGGCCCAGTAAAGAGATGAACTTGATTCCATACAAGCTTGGGCCCCGCGTGGACAAAGTTCAAATATGTTATTTTGATTATTTAAATATTTGGTACTTAATCAAAAAATCATATTTTTGCGGGACCTGGGGTTTTGTTTTTATTTTTAGTTTTATGATTTGAAAGTTATGTAGTAAAATCACTCGTTCTTGTCAAAAGTTATTTGAATAAATTGAAAAGGATACAAAAAAATGCAGTTTTGTAGTCATTATTAAAAGAAAAGAAAATAAAACTCAACCTATTATAATTGTAATATAACTATTTTTTGCAATTAACTATAAAATTTTATCAAAAAACAGGCAATGATCAATGACCATACATCCTTTATTATATTTACGACGAAGTCGTGTCAAATTATATTCAAATGTTTTTTTAGTTTAATAGTATAGCCAATTCAATCGTTTTTCTAAGTATATTTCTTTTATTTAATATTAATTCCCACATATTCGCCTCACTTACTCAATATTATTACTTTTTTATAATGAAGGCTATTTTGTTATAAAAATAGATTTCATTATCTATTTCCATAGACAAAATAAAGAAAAATATTTAGAAGCGTTTCGTTTTTTTACAGTCAAAGAATTAGGTTTAGTTTTTCAGTTTTGAAAAATGTTTTTCAAAACTGAAAAACTTATTACATGGGGTATTACAGAAATAAAAATAATTTATTTATGCTTATAATTCATCCTTTTATTACGTACATATTTCTCTATAACTATTACGAACGACGTCAAGCACCCAATTTCATACATCACCTTTAGGAGTCAACTATAGATAGGGACTGATTATTATTGATGTATAAGAATTAAACACGTTAATTGTCAAGAGATTACAGTGAAATCAAAAATTTTGTACTTGCTTTGTTAGTGAATAAACGTCCTTTCTAAAATAAAAAAGACACGTATCGTCAGCAAACAACGCCACGTGTCCGGACAGTTTCAGATCACGAATAATATTAATACAAATTAGAAACAATATTGGTCAGAGACTGAAGCCTTGAGCGCCACCGAAAGTAACTCATTCAGGAGATCTTTGCGTATGAAGAATTTTCACTTCTTGATATCTGTCTGAGAGATATGACTGCACTATAATTAATATAAAAATAAAATAATAATTAATTATAGACCGAGAGGCATATCCTCGATGTCTTTCTTATTATCTATTATATATATTTAGTAATAATTTGTCACTTATAGTATCGAATGCTTTTTTAGATCGATAAATACGACAAAGACCGTTTTTTTTAAAATTATTGTTACTAGATTTAAGCAAGCAGAAAGTGTACTAGATTTACGACGAAATCCGTATTGCTTACTGTAAAAGGAATTAAGTGAAGTCAAATAATGATTTAGCTGATTATTATAAAACCTTTTCATATACTAAGCGATCGTAAATGATTTTATATGATGAGCTAGGATAGGCTAGATAGCTAGCTAGGTAGGTTTATTTTCTAGTGATAATATTTTTAATAAGTTTTTTATACTTTACTACATTTCTTTTACTATTTTAGTCAGTTTGTTGAATTAATAAATAAAAACTTTTTTTTAAATATTTTATATATCTTTTTTAATATAAATTATGTAAAACATTATAACTCGACAATAAATGTATACTTAATATTAATTTAAAAAAATGTGTAAACCTCAAGAAACAATGATTGTTCCATTTTTTATTTTTGCATCTCACAACACGATTTTCTATATTATTAAAGAGAAAACTTATCGTAAATTTACCTGCAATATAAGTAAAGTTGGCTCAGCGATGCTAGCTCCCATTACGTGATTTTGATCTAACACTTGAGGCAAATTTGCCATGAAAGCATTAAAAATCGAAGATTGTCTGTAAAAAATGAAAATGTAATGTTGCACGGTGAGTATATGTATACACCATATCATTATATAAATAACAGTAAATAATTATCATAATTTAGGCCACAATTTACGAACCGTGATCCACAATACAGTGTTAAAATTATGAATTACCTCATAATGTGTGGAGATACGTGGAAATATTTGTCGACACAATTGTAACCCAGCAAGGAGAACAAATGTTTCAGCACCATTTCTTGTGTTTTTAGACATGTCTTGTCTTCTGTAGGATAAGCTTGATCTGATCTAAAATAAAAATGTATAATTTAAAAAAATATCATTTGTGAATTCCGTGAAATAAAAGAATAAATAATAGATATCCGTGAAACAATGACAAATAAAACTTGTATTACTTTACCAATCAGCATTTAAACAACAAATAGTTTTATGAGCAACAAATTTGTAATCTTACCTAGACAAGAACTGCATAAGTAGAAAAACTAATAGGTTAGTAGTCTCCCGATCAGTCTCTTCGAGGTCTATTTTTGGTAACACCGTTGTCAATGTGTCATCCGTGGATCGACCGGATAAGGAAAAAGCCTCTGGAAATTCATATAAGCTTAAAATACGATCTGATAATAATATGCAATTGAGAATCAAAATATTTTTAAAGTATTCAGCATTAAAATATTTCAAATTCAAATTTATATACCAGTTTAATCGTGTATGCTAAATTAAACTTTTATTATATTGAATAAATTTAAAAAATCAGATTAAATCGAACGAAAACCACAAATAAAAAAATCCGATTGAAAAATTGGTTTAGGCTTCTTAAAAATGTTTTTAAGAAAAAAATGAGATTGCTTCATAATTTAATTAATGTTAAAAGGAATAGCACCTCTAAAAGGAATTTATAAAACGAGTAAAGCCTTATAAATAACACAAAAGTAAAAAGAAATCCACAAACCATGAGTATTGTTGGACTTTTGCGCTGATGCTGGTGGTTGTGGCGCTGCCAGTAGCTGGCCCAATCCGAAACGCGAAGTTTTACGCTTAAGCAGTGGAGCTGAATACTGGCGAGAATACACTTTCTCACGTTCTGTTAAATAACAATATTGATTCCGTTAATGTACTGGATTATAACTGCAACAGTGTGACCTTCACTTTGAAATATATAAAATTTGACTTACAATCGTGATACTAGATTTGAATTACACGTTCTCTACCCTAGGATGTTCCAAAGCAGTGGTCGCACATTGCATAATATTAAGTTTTAGCGACAATTTGTTTTGGCTAGTATTCTAACCTCATTAAGTCTTTACCTTAATAAACTATATAGGTGTATATAGTTTATAAAATTTTAACTTGGTGTTTAAAAAGACGACAACGTTAATTGATGGTTCTTCTCAGAGAAGGTCTTGTTTTTGCGAACCAGTATAGATTTTGATGTTCGTAATTGTTCATAAGAGTTCTGTTCGGTGCTAGTATGAGATGCAGGAAAACCGCACTCTGTTGAATTTCTTGGGAGAGGTCTACCTAAAGATGATTTTTAATGAGATAAGGGTTAAAAACGAAGTCAACCTGATGGTAAGTGGTTGCTGCGGCTCATAAACATCTACTTCTACCCCGATTAAGAATCAAAATTTAGATGCATTGTCACTAAGATGGAACTCCTTCGTATAAAAATGTACCATTAAAGACCACCGCCAGATCACTGGCTGCTTTCTAGTTCTTGGAAGTTATTGATCAAATGTAGTATTGAATACAACTTTAAATTTAAATTATTTACTCAAACGCTTAACTGATGGGCTCAGTTTTTTAACGTTTATTATGTGTCGGTGTTTTGGTGTGCGGTTTGTCAGTGTACGGTGTGTAAGGTTCGGTTTTGTAGTGTCTCGGTGTTCCTGTGAGTCGGTATACAGTGTTTCTCTGAGTCGGTGTGCAGTATTTATGTGAGTCGGTGTACAGTATTTCTGTGAGTTGGTGTGCAGTGTTTCTGTGAGTCGATGTGTTGGTGTACGGTATGTCAGTATGTCGGCGTCTAGGTGTCGCAGTATTCACTAACCAAGGCGAGCGTCAGGCGGCGGCACGGCAGCCGGTGCGGACACGGTGCGCTTGTACGGCCACTTGGCGCCGAACGACGCGCTCAGCGTGTTCACGTGCGCCTCGCGCGCCGACACGCTCAGCGCCTCGTGAGCGCGCCGCACCTTGTACACCAGCCACTCCGAGCTCGTGTCGCCACCTACCAGTTCTGCGGAAACACTCTCCTTTTGTCCATTAGGTGTTTTCTTTATAAAATACTTGTGATAAAGGAGCACAAAGTTCACCTGACGGTAAGTGGATGATGTGCAAGATAGACACCTACATCTATCGTCAATTAAGGATCAACATTACAAACTACAGCCCATACGAAACACAGCAGCATTGAGCTGATATGTTACGCTGGTATTTTGTGATAGCATGATCCCCCTCCCCCTCCCCGGTCGAGCTGACCCATTCGAGCTACAGCCATACTATTGCTGTAACGTGGCTCTGCCACATAAATATGTTCTACAAGACCGAGTGATTAAATTGAAATATTCATTGAAAAATTTGTCTGAGTGAGAAACATTACTATACATACATTATAATACGTGGTTGAGCCACGCTGCAGCTACATTATGGTTATATACGAATGGGTAGGCTCGACCGGGGAAGGCTCACGCTCTCACAGAATACTAGCGTAAAATAACAGCCTAATACTGCTGTGTTTCATATGGTGAGTGTAAGATCCAGAGACACATTTTCCTGGAAACGAGGCATTATATCTTAGTCCTCAGGATTGACAACGCATCTGCGTTTTGATTCTTAATACAGGGTAAATGTAGATGTCTAATGGGTCACAGCATCCATTTACCATCAGGTTGACTGTGTGCTCGTTTTTCATCTTTATTCCATAAAAAAAAACTAAAACCGGAATAACTCTTCGATAAACTTCAAAGAGAGTTTATGGATAAAGGCCCTTCTTAAGCAACCGTGCACCGTTGGTGTAGCAAATTTCAGAGCGGAACATCCCTAATGGCAGTTTACATATTAATTTAATGCAGGTTATGGAAGAAACACATTTTTTTTCATATTCATATTTAGAAATATACTATATTAGCAAAAGGCATATTATTCAAAACGTTAAAACTTACCTCTTAAATTAGAAAAATCGAGATTCTTATTGGAGTTAATCTGAGCCTCCAGCAGTAAAGTTTCAAAGCGGTTCAAGAAAAACTCCCAAGTGAGGATGCGACGGTCACTGAGAGTGTTATGCAGCTGGTAGATGGACTGGAGTACCATTGGCCGATCCACAATAACCAGGTCAAACTGCGTCTCCAGACAGTAAAGCAGTAACTGCAGATGATATAAATAATTAACTAAATTGCAATAGATCCAAAACAACATCAGCTTTACAAAAATTAGATAATGACCGTATTGCGTCTTATGTATTAATTAAATATTAGGTGATTAATTATTTATATTGTACTCCTCTATTACCATAAATTATGCATTAATTTGTAAAGAACGGTTTCCTTGTTCTTTAATTAATAGACGTCTTAGCAAACATGATAGTTACATAGAAAACATGACTAAAACATCCAAAAAACAAATCAGTTACCGAATATTTTATTAACATACCGAATATAATATTTAGCATAAGATAGATTATACACACTATTTGTAAAATTTTGGAACCTTATGGCAGGGGTTCCCAAAGTGAGCGCTGTAGAAAGTAAAGAGTGGCGCGGCGCCCATTACCATTCTCCGGAAAATATATTCGCGGGTACAAAATAAGGAGCAAATAACGCTCAAAAATGAACGTGGAGCAAGAAATGAGAGTAGCGGTGTCAAGCCTTATTCCATGCTTTAAAAATGTGTGGAGGGCACCAAGCTCAGACTTTGACTAAGCAATTTTATTATATTTCCTATTTTTCTTAAACAAAAAATGTATTTTCGTGTGTTAAAATAATTTGGAAACCTTAGCTTCATATTACGGATGTTTTGACTCATAGTCCTACCCTATTTTGATTAGCTTGGGCGCCGAGAAAAAATACTAAACCTGTAAGTGTCTCGCGAACTGGAAAAGTTTAGGAACCCCTGCCTTAAGTTACACTGTCTATATGAATAGTACTAAGGAGCATATAAAGTCCTTATACTACTATACATTTTTATTTATCAAATAAATAATTAGAAATACATATAATTTTAAATGCATTATAAATCTCAAAAAACACATGTACGATATTGTTAGCTGAAACTCTCTTTTACAGCACACTATACAAGTAATGCAAATTCTAAGACAATTATAAATAGCCTTTCCGAATTACGATTATGCAACAAATTTCGATTGCTAGCTAATTAATGTCTCAAAATATTGTTATTACAAAGATGGTGATGAAGGTGTGATTTACATTCTGGTTGGTGGAAAATATTTTTGTTATAACTTACCGAGTCTGAAAAACAAAGCTTTTTACTTGATGACATAATTGTGACCAACGCCAAGAATTAGTGCGCTATTCGAATACGATTTCTTTATGTTCTGAAATAATTTCTGTAAAGCGAACGTCGATTTCTATTATTTTTCTTTAACATTGCCAACGACTGAATAATTGGTACTTCGATTATTGACAATGCTCAAGAAAAAAATAGCCATACTAAAAATCTTCATCAACCATCATTGTAGGAACACGTCACAACATTATTCTTTCCTATTAAAAGCTGCAATCGAAATGTAAAATTTCTTCGGTTTCAAAATAATTACATACCTCTATAGCACTATCGTGTATGGTGCCGATGTACAGCGTTGCTCTCTGGGCCACGTAAACATTGATGTCATCCATACTGGAGATTAAGTAGCAGAATGCGGTGGCTAAAGCGGTTTGTAGAGGAAGGCTTGTCTTAATCGGTGATCCATCCATAAATCTACAACGTACACAATTAAATTGTTAAGTGATATTTAGAAATCAATATTTTCCTTCATCAAGGGCTACCATTAAGACCATAGAATACTATAATACACAATAGAATGGCTGTCAACGTTATTTTGTAGGAGGATCGGTGTCGCCGGGAGCACACATACAAGCAATTACGTTGTATTATCACCACTACAAACCCGATTCGCTGTGTTGACTGACTGAGCAAATTTACACATTTTAGACTTTTAATTAATGTTTTTGACACATCAATATTTCGTTATTTTTGTTTCTAATATTCACAAAATATAAATAGTTTTGACTTACTGGTTGTAGGATATAATATCTCCTTTATTTAAATTCCAATTCTCTCTGTTCTTTTGACACGTAATTATTGCACAATTTGCCAATTTATTAAATAATTTGCATGCAGCGACGCTTGACACGAAAATTTGAAACGATTGATTGTGTTGACATTCATAGGTGTGAATTGACATGTTAGTGGCTACACGGGCTCCGCCCACTCCTTCGTTCAATTATGTATGTATTATAGTATTCTATGATTAAGACAGCACTGATCCATCTTTATTCATCAACATCTTCTTGTCTGTTCAGGTCATCTACCCATCTACACAAAATGTCAAATATCTTACAGATCTAAATTTATATACGAGAATAATTAAATTGAAAAAAAAAACAATACAATCCTTTAGTTATGAAAATCCAACTTCAAATAATTATCGTCCGACTTGGTTGAAATTTAACAAGGATGACGAGGGAGGTGGAGGTAAAACTAACATTAGATATATGACGTTATATGTAATGAGTTCTTATATTTACGCGAACACCAAAAATTGAATTAAACTATGTATTACGTTCTTTTAAGCTTGTAACATAAAGCTGACGTGAAACACCAAAACTCCGGGCAATCTGCAGAATTCAGATTTGATAGACAACAAATCCTCACGGAAGAACATCGATTCCTACCAAAAATCACCCCAGTCCCCTCATCATCACTATCATCATAGGGTATTTTACACTATGTAAAATTAAATCAAAAAATATATATCTATGGTAGATTTTGTAAAAAGTGGACGAGAAATAATGATTTCTGTTTATAAAATTATAAACTTTATATTTCAATTTTAAGAATATTTTTTACGTCTGTGCCTTAAAATCTGTAAAACGATGTCATCCATATTAGCCATTTCGTGACGTCACTGATCCCGCCTAAGTTAGTGTTCTGTATCACTGAAGAGAACTAGCTAACGTGCTGTGTTATTTCGAACATTTTCATGTTATCATTACGATTATTGAGTTATACTACGAATTTTATTGAAAAGGCATCATGGAAGAAGAATTCGTAAAAGCAGAGAGTACTAACTGTACTTTGTGGTGGTACAAATACAGAAAGTACTATCCTTGGTGGCAAACTCTAATTCAAATTCAAATTGTTTATTGCATGTCACATTACAAATTTAAGGTGTATCATTGATAGGTATACATGTGACGTCCTGCATGGGCATAGCAACATAAGAGGGCTAACTATTTTTGTAGTATCTAACTTTTAAACATAAATTATAAAATAGCATACTATTACAATATATTATTATTTCATATAAATAGTTAAATTATAATCATCATCAATGTCATTATTACACTCGTATTTGCCATTTTTTGATAAGGAATGTTTTAAATTATTTATTAAATTTGGGTTTGAATAAAACTATTATTTACGGATTTTATCGCGTTTAATTACTTAAATTAAAGTAATTAAACGATAATATATATAAAAAATAAATTATAATAAATATTAATGTTCGCGTAAATTTAAGAAATTTGGGTTTTCTAGAATTTTTATAAATTTCGGTAAATGGTAAATTTTTATTGACATAACGACGGAACTAGTCGAAGCTAATTTTGATTTGGAGAAGGGTATCCTAAGTTGTTCTTGTAATAGGTGAGTAGAGTTTTGGGTGTTTCCTGACGAATTTCCCAGATGTTGATAGACGTAAGTGCCAATATTTTATGTTTAAAGAATTATTATAAATTCGTTAATATTCTTTTTTAACACAAACGATTTGTTTACATCACAAGAGTATTCCAAGAAGATGATGCCATAGGAGAGTACCGAATGGGCATGAGCATAGTAAGCCGCAAGAGCAGTCTTAAAATCTGCCACACGTTTAAGGTGTTGTAGATAGTAGATGAAAGAGGATATTTTTTTACAATTTTTGGTATGTGCTGTTTCCAACACAAATGTCTATCCCTAAAAAAGTAGCAGAGTTAACAGTTTTTAGTTTTGTTTCATCTTAATACCTATCCGTTGGAAGGCACTATTGAGGTCATTGAGCATAGTGCTTAGGTCTTCTAGCGATTCTGACATAAGAACTACATCTTCGGTAAATTGAAGGTGAGTAATGTAGATTTTAATACCGTATCCTTTCCAGTCGAGTTGCTCGAAAACGTCTTCCAATGCAACAGTGTTTTTGTTTTAGAGTTTCGTGGATATAACGTCACCTGTCTTACACCCCTCTGCAGTAGGATCGGTTTCGTACTCTGGTTCTGTACTTGGATAGCCTTCATAGCCCTACTGTACAAATACAGCAGCACTTCAATATACCGACACTAAAATTTGTACCGCTGAAGGGACTGCAGGATCGCCCTAATGTCGACTGAATCAAATGCTTTCTCATAGTCCACTTACGCAAAGTGGCAGTTTGTACTCTTCGGTCTTCTGTACAATTTTCCAAAGAGTATCTATGTGGTCGAAGCACCCGAAATGTCGAGAATTAAAATTAAGTTAAATTAAATGTTATAAAATCCGTAAAAATAGTTTTATTCAATACGATATGTGTTAAAAGCAAGGTTTAATTAGGTACCATTTTTTAAATACGGTTTTAAAAGAAGCTCTTGCAGTCGAAGAAAAACCTATCGACTTTGCTTTTTAGTTCTGTAACTACACTTAGTATAGTACCTATGTAACTGAATTGTAGTCAGTGACAGTCGGGCCGGCACTGTTCTTACACGCGTAATATAATGTAATTAAACGCTATCTCTTAGAAGGACTTATTTCATTTCTAACACACTACACAGACATTAGTTAAAGTTCATTTAAAAAATTACATTTAGTTTCTATAAGCCCAGGCCTCAAAAGCGTAAGCCTAAAATCACCAATGTGTATTAAACACTATACCAACATTAAGTTTTACACCATGTAACCTGTATGTAAAATTGTGATCTTTTTTCTTAGTGATAGCTTTACATTTATTGATTTATTTATTTATTTATTTTATTCTTTATTGCATCCTTAAACAAAAGAATACAAAGGGCGGACTTAATGCCTTGAGGCATTCTCTACCAGTCAACCCATGGAGTGGTGAGAATTTGACGTAGGTGTGGCAATATAGAATAAGAGAACACAATACAAATGATAATTAACTACCAAATATATACAAACTACTAATAAATAAACTATACATGTATGATCTATCCTTACATATATACGAATATATAAATAAATGGATATACATACAAGTATACATTTTTAAATACATACATAATTAGTATATATACAAATGACTATGAATATATACGTCTGTTTGGCAATACATATTAAATAGATGAGTCATGTAAAATGCGTTGTCTTTAATAAATGATCACGGACCAACTTTTTAAAAGCGTACCTATTGGGAGCTTTTCTGCTGTCATCGGGCAAGGAATTCCAAAGGCGTGTAGTGTGAACTGTGAAGGAGTTACCATAGAACTCGGTGAAGTGAACTGAAGTACAGCTTTTGTTGTTAGAAGAAGAGCGTAAGAAGGGTGTACTCTTAAAATAAGAAGGCGAAGATGGATCATTTAATATGGAAAAAAGTACAAGTAATATTCTGAAGTTGCGCCTCTGCCGGATTGTAAGCCAATTTAGCTTAGATCTGTATTGCGAAATATGGTCATACTTACGAAGCCCAAAGATAAAGCCTATACAGTTATTAAGGAGGCGTTCCAGATTGTTCAGAAGATCTTGGGACAGACGGTAACACACATCTGCATAATCAATTATGGGTATATGTATATATATATATATATATATATATATATATATATATATATATATATATATATATATATATATACTATAGTATGAAATATTTTTAGATAACCTACAATATTAAAAAAATCACAGAATTATAATTAATTATACATCATGGAAGTCTGCGGTATGTTAACACGTTCAGGATTATCCTAACCATTATATCAAATTTAATAGACCACAAATCAACGTAAAAGAGCACCGATTCCTACCAAGGATGATTCGAGAGACTATTGAATTCGTTTTATTCCCGTTTTACATCATAATAATCTATTTTTTAAGCTATTGCATAGCTTCTATCGCGGGCCTTGAGCGTGGGGACCGAATCCAGAAATTTATTCCGCCGTAACGAAAAAACCTCACGCTCCCCCACTCCGACGGGCACGGAGGTGTGGCTTGAAGGCCGCGCATTGTCTAACGTCGTTTCTTTTTTCGGCAGTCTTCGACACGGTGTTTGTGTATAAAGTGTTTTGAATATGAATGAACAAAGTGCATTTATTATTAATGAAGAAAGTCACGAAATAATAGTGAAAGAAAATGAGTGAGTACTCTATATACATACATTTTATTATTTTCACAAATGCAGTACTAATTTTGAATTGAAAATATAATACTGCTATAAAGATAACCTAAATTTTTGATAGTAAAATGAGCGATATTAAAAGTAGCCCTCTTTATATACACACAAACACACACACGCGTATAGTTTAAATTCTCAATTTAGATTCTCAATATATACACACATATATTTATATATATATATATATATATATATATATATATATATATATATATATATATATATATATTGTATATATATATATATAATCATTTCACGGTAAATGTTGATCCAGTGAGAAGTTAGAACAATGATCCACCTATTTGACGTGTTTGCTCAGCTCCTCGTCGCACAAACTGAT